GTGGAAGAGGAATCCGTTTAAACGGAATTCAACACATCATCCAGCATATATTACCCTATGTGCCTACCCAAACTTTAAACATTGGGTGGCTAAAACCCTGGTTGAACATGTTTAAACGAAACATTGGACCAATTGCCTGATGGTGTCTTTCACTGTGAGACTGTGAGCCTTTTCCTCGTAGCAGGTTCTGTATACCCAATGTCTTCATGACGCTCATGCGAAAATGGGGGTCTCGACCCGTAGGGCGTCCCTCATCATCCTGGGTACGTTCATCGCATCTCGCTGCCTCCACACACCGACACATCAGGATCAAGGCCCAAGTCAGGACACTGCACACTTGCTTACTGCACCATAAGACCATATAGCAACTTTGCAACTTAGCTGTCCTTTCTTTGGTAGTTACCTTCTCTTGATTTGTATGAACGCTTGTCCAAAGTCGCAGTTTTCATAGGAGCACAAAACGCACACCCATATAACGTCCTTTTCTGGAGTTTTAACGGGCAGGTGCGCCAATCCTGAAAAGATTCAGTTTATTTGTGGCGCATGATGAGATTGGAGCTTGACCCACAGTCATGCTGCTTGAGTTGTTTTTGCACCGCAGAGCCACAATCCGCGGCACCCGAGCTCTTCTACCGGGCCAAAGAACAAACAGTCCGTCCCACCCAAGCTGAGTGGGATGTGGTCCAAGTGCTTACTGAGCAAAGCAATGTATTGGACTTGATACAACACCTGGAAAGAATCTTTGAGGGAGGGCTGCACGGAATGGGAAGGCTTCATCCTTCGTGCTTACAGGGGTCCCATATCAAACGGTTCTTGATCGGGTGGCGTCTGTGCATAGGACCGACATACTCTTCCTTTTCGCAGGCAGCACCAAACCATCGCCTGTGCAACTCACCTTTGAGATTGCTGCTGATCGTTTCCAGGCATGTCCGACTGAAGTATGTTCTTGCATGGCCCAGATTGAAATCGATTCGCCTCGCAAAGCCTTGCTTGCACCGTTTCGTTTGCTTGCTGTGACACACAACCCCCCAAACGACCAGCCAACGGCAAAATCGGCAGAGGAAAAGCGGCGAATCGGCCAGTTTGACCAGTTTCTGAGTTGGGTTTGTATTTGAATGTATAAATCTGGGACACCCCCGATCGTCCTGAGTGGAAATTTGGTCTATCTCTCGAACCGAACGGGTCGGTGCACACTGTTCTTCGAATTCGGAGGTTTGTTGTGTCTTGTGAAGCCTTTTCAACTGTGCTCCTCCAGGGACCAGGTCTTTTGCCGACAAGACTGGAACAGGTCCATTCACTTCGGCAGTGGATTTGGTGACCGATAGATAGTCGTGTTCGAACCAGAGGTAGACCAGAATTGTGAGCGCCTATATGGTAGTCGATCGAAAGGTCGACATAAGGCCTATGTCACTGAGAGCCTCTTCAAGTTGTCCGCAAAAACTCTCGAGTTCGCGACAGTAATTTGTTTGTTCGCGAAAGATCTCGAAAGGTCCTACTATACTCTATGTTAGAGTTTTTCGAACTGTATACTTCATATTTCCTTCACTCAGGAGGAGCCTTGATTCCTGACTTTCGAATACTTTCGATGCAGTCTTTAGGTTTCAAGCTCACTCACATTGGTGATTTGGCTTGGCCATGGCTCCTAGGCACAGTCAGTCATCAGTGGCACATTCACAAGCCTTTACATTCCATATTATATAGCTCACACTGGCGATGCACAATCCCTAGGCTGTATAGTAACTCTTTTGTTGTTAGAAACCCACCAATGACCTTACATCTTTGGCGAAAGATTCGCGAAAGCTCTGCGAAAGCATAGGCGAATTTGAAGGCCTGTTTTATGGTCCTTTGCCCAAGCCAAGCAGCGAAAGACCCATAGCAAGACATGAGCACAACAGCAGTTGATAGCGTGCTCGTCCCAAACAATCAAAACAAACACATGGAAGTGCTTAGGCTGCTATGTAGAACCACTAAACCAAGAAGATTTCTAGAGGATATACCCCGCAAAAGTTAGACATGGAGTTCGCGAAAGATTCGCGAAAGTATATACTTTTTTGGCGAAGAATGGCCGTTCAGCACTAAGTTCTAGCAAGAAGAAATTTTGATCAACCACCATATACCATTTTCCTTCATGCTCCTGCAAGCGTAAAACCTCGTGATCAAGGTAGACGAGAAGTTCGAACACTTGGCCTCTTCACAGCCACCCAATTCTACAGGTCACCACCTGCCACTTCGAAGTCTCCAAAAAACCACCATGGAGTCCTCTAGAGTTAGGTGCACCCATTGAACCCATGGCACCGTTCAAGGCTCGAACCCCAACTCTGCCCGCACGAACGGCGGGCGCACGTCCAGTTCAGGGTGGGGCGCTGAGGGTGGGGCACTGCCAAGAGCGTGTGGGTCTACCGAGTCTAAAAGGTTGGTTGAAGGTCATCTCCACCCCAGAAAACAAACAGTGCATAGCGTGCATGGCTCTCCCACTTTGAGGCAGTAGATTTAATCTTTACACTTATCGAGTATGTTATGTTACAGTAGTATGTTGACACCAATCAATATAATGTGGCACGCAAAGTCGGTCAAAGCTGCGTGGAGAGTCATAAACCTGTTACGATCACAAAGATTCTAGGAGGAAAGAGACCCTTACTAATACTATAGCGACTAGTGGAACATATTGAAAGCAGCGCAAGTCTCTCTTTTTGTTGGTTGGCGCTGGTCCTTGGGACTCCAAGCCTGCAAGCATCAAAGCACTCATGCATTTCTCATGTTCCAACTGCGTTCTAGATGGACACACAGCAACAGCAACCTGATATGATATACCCCTCAGCGAATCCAGCTTTGAACATTTTGTCGACAAACCCAACGGCCAATCGATTAGCCCCAACTCACAAATCCACAACAGCGTGTATAACCCCTGAGACTCCTAGCTCAACTCCAACAATGTTTCGCAACGCCAGATAAACCACTGCCCACCATGCCCGGCATTTGAAGCAGCCAAAAGTCAGGAGCGGGGTAGACATGGAAGAGTTTCTGATGACACGTTCTTTGCATCATGACCTGGCATTTCTTTCAACCTTTTCTCGCCACCTTTGAGAAGAAACATGCAAAACAGTGGAAGACACTGCGACACCGCTCCCCAAATTTGTGTTCGTTGAGAACTGGAGCCTCATTGTCACTAGCTGCGGGGAATATTTTCTGGAAGCACATCCCTTCAACTGGGGCTCACCACCACCTGAAACCTTAGTGGTTTCGCAATCAGGTCCTTTTGATTCACTGTTTCCCTCCAAACCATCATAAACCTTGAAAAGAGGCACCAAGAAAATGGACGTTCCTTGATTTTCTGGAAATGGACGTTCCTTGATCGAGAACAGGATGTTCTCCAGTTTGGTGATTAACTGCATTCCATCCCTGTGATTAAACCATCGAAACAACAACTTTTAACATTACTGTAACTAGATGTCCCTTTTCAGGCGGATTTAACATGAGTTAAATATGATTCTTGTGAAAGTGGTGAGTTGACTGGACCCTCCCGAAGCAAGAACACCACCCTTCCAACTATCCCCCAAATTGAGAAAGCACCCCGAAGCTTCTTCACCGTCTTCCAATACTTCCATCCCACTCATCCGACACTTGCACACCTCCAGCGGCCAAGGCGGGACTCCACCTCTCCCCGGAGCCGGTCCATCCAGTTCCAAGTCTTGGACGAGGAGGAGCCTCGAGACAGTCGGAGACGGCGGTCGGCCACGGCGGGAGACAGAGATATCCTGCAACTTCCTAAGTGTGCTTAATTTTTAGTACTTGGTGGAAGAAAAGCCTCTGATGCTTAAGAGGCTGAAGTCAAACTCCAGGGGCTCTTTTGCGTTTGTTGCTGTCTCCCACGGTCCATGTCCCAGGTTGGAGTGGCTCAGAAGAGCATTCATGACTACTGGACCTGTTAGCGGATATAACCTAGAAGTAGCCTGTCAATGGGAGCTGTTGCCATCCACATCTTTGAACATCGGAATTGCATCCATGATCCAAAAAAACTCAACAATGTTGAGACCTCTACCATCTTGTGCCACTGGCTTCGGAAGGCTTGCAGGATTTGCCTTCAGCGGTGTTGCCAGCAGTTCATGTTCTCCTATGGATGGTTGGCACACATTTCCCACACCCGCTCTGTGACCCTCTTTGCTATGGTTCCGAAGCTCCACTCATTGTCGCATCTTCATCATCAAATGTTTGTTTGTGTGCGTGATCGATATTCATCGGTTTTGGCTGTCCTTGACTGTGCTATGAACGAAGACTTTGGTGGCCGGGTGGCCAGACAGTCTCGCCGTGTGTCCCACCGAAACGTAGTTGAAAACACGTTGCGTGCCTATAAAGTGAAAGCAAAGCTGGAGTTGATGCGCAATGCGACTGATGGACTAAGGTTCAAAGTGAAGAAGCAGGGGGATGGGCTGGGTTTGTACTGGCAGGTGTGTATTGGGTGTCTCACTAGTGCAGCCAAGAGGCCACCTGTAGAGTCATCAAGTCATGCACGGGCTACGGTGTACAGTTGGATGGAGTCAACTGGATGGTTCGGGGTGGCTTCAGTGGCCAGCATGTTCCAATATACATAATATCTTCATGTACAATATATAGTATCTCCATATTTCTCCTGAAGTACGAGGCATTTCCGGAGACATCCAGTGGAGCTCCGGCCACATTGTCTTTGAAGCTCTTAAGTTGTTTGTCACCCCGTAAACGATCTGCACACATCACTGCAGTGCTGAGCAGTGCTGAGATCAGCTTTGCTGAAGAGGCTCCTTCAGCCTGCCCTTGTGAAGTGGGGCAGTTCTGGCACCTATCGGCAGGTAGTCTCACGCCCTTCGGGACCCGCCTCGCACGGTCTTCGTTTGTTTTCTTGTACGTTCCGTCTCTGTTTTGGTCCACAAGTTGTCCATAAGGATCGTCGACGCTTCTGATCTATGACATACTGACACAGCTTTACAGCCAAGCAGGAGTTTGTATGAGTTTGTTCTTTCGGACAGGAAGAATTTGGACCAATCCTCCTGTGATCCTGATTCCATGACCATTGACAACTTCCTGGAGGGCAAAATCCGGACTTGTGAGGATGAAGATGACGCTCCAGGTGACCGGCAGGTGGCGTTCGGATTAGACCAGGGTTTTGCGGAATGAGACCCGAGCATGTTCAGGAAAGAGTTGTGAAAGACCCTGCCCCTGTTAGGATTATTATGGATTATTCCTTTCATTTGTTGGAAGTGAACATGACTTCCAGGCTTGCTTGCACCTGGTCGCTTGACGAAGGGTTTGGTCAGAAGATGTCAGAAGATGATCATCACATTCAGAAAATTCAAACCATTTCGAGCCCATGGCTCCGGTTCATCCAATCTGAGGTCCGCTCTAAAAAGAGGGTTTGATGGGTTTGTTAAGCCACAGCTTCGGGGGGGGAGGCTCTACAAGTGGTCCAGAAAGTGATGCGGAAAAGACAGGTGTTGAGCATGTCTTGAGACGAGCACTGTGGAGCTGTGGAGCTAAGGATGTAGTGATTCTCTCACATCCATCCTTGCTTTGATCACTCGAAATAATCCATGACGGTCGTGACAACGGTCGTCCGGTCGTCCGGCACAGGCCACGGAGGAGAAGGCGATCACCTGGCGGATTTTCACGCCTGAGCAGGCTTGGTCAAAAGGCTCTGCCTGTTTGTGCCAGGTCTGATTATGTGATATCAGAAACCCCTTCCAAGTGATGATGCTCGTGTCAAGTCGACGCCACTTGACCTACGCTGGAATCGTAATCGTTGAGCATATCAACCCCTGGAAACTAACAGAATCTGAGGTTGACCAAGAAGCCAAGAAGCGATGGTCAAGCATATACCAACCAAAAGACGTGCGTGCACGCCATCAAGTTGTGAACCCACTCGTTGGCTGCAAGGATCGGTGGTAGGTGCCTGCGAGCGCAATGCTCGAAGCGCACGTCGTAGGCAGAGGTTGCCCAGAGCCGGGCCCCCATCTTCGGCCAGCCGGTGCCCCCACGGAGCCTCGGCAAACACTCTGAAAATTGCGCGCTGGAACAGTGCACACGCGGTGGGTGGGTGTGAGTCGAAGGAGGATTGAGTTGTGTATATTTTACTTTTTGGATGTGTTTGCAAACATCGACCCGGAGTCTGGACTGTGGTCAGGGTGAATATGAGTCCATGCCAAGAGTCCTCCCAGAAGCGTGACGCGTGCCAAGGATGGCTTTGCCAGCACATGCAACAGCCTGGTCATTGACGTGCCTGGTCGCATTCATTTAGCTTTTAACAGAGAGAGAGAGAGAGAGAGCGATGACTCTCACAGGGGCCCCTAATTAGCTTCTCTTCGCTGTATATTAAGCCAGATGAAACGACACCCTGTTCCCTCGGCTGCAACTCCACAGATCCATCGAGTCTCACACGTGCTTTGCTCGTTTGCAAATTTCGGCTCCAGATGACTCCACAGCGGAGGCTGGAGCATGAGATCGATCAGATAGCTGATGTGTGAAGGTCGCATGGCTTTCCACCTTCAGCTCCCTCGTCGACCTCCTTTCGATGATGGTCGACCGGAAGGGTCCGAGGTTTCAGAGAGTGGAAGAGGTGCTGCCGGCGGATTGTATGTAGCGTGCCTGCAAAGTCAGAGGGGGTCCTTTGGATTGACGGTGTCAGGGCATGGTGACCTGCCATTTCTCCTCATTCTTGACATCCAGGGCTCCGAGGCAGTGAAGGGCTGGAACGAAGAACATCCTCAGTGTGCTATCGCAGCAGGGCACGTGGTCGTGGAGGCCAATGGGGCAAGGACGCCAGGGCAAATGCTGGAGCACTTCCGGCAGGACAAGGTCGCGGGCTAACGGCCAACTTGCTTTCAATCGTTAGCCGTTAGCCTTAAACTTGAGACGGAACTTTAGACTGTCCCTTTCATGGTGTTGTTGGTTTTCCATTTCTTAGGCAAGCAGTTCACACCGTTGTTGGACCATGAGCTTGCCAGTCAGGTGGTATATCTCCTCATCAATCGACAGCCAACCGCTCAGCAGGCCCAAGTGCTCAGAACAGCTTTGGTGGCTCGGTCTTTCTTAAATGTGGATTTGAAGAGTGTTATCAATCCACACATGTTTTCGCTTCCTATCCATTCAGTGGTGAACTCTTGAGGATCCAAACCACCCCCACATGCCCTATTCCCTGTACCTTTGAGGGCCATATCGATACTGCCGCATCCAAAGGGAGAGGGGGGAGAAAATACCGGAGAATTCCATGTGTTTTTGTTCTGTGTTCGTTTGTCTATGCTCTCGAATACTCTCTTTATTCTGATCCAAACGACGGGCTGAGATCTCTTCCAACCAAGCGAAGACGTGGCTTTCTAACAAAGGGGGCCTTCTCTCAAAGCAAATTTTCAGCCCTTAGCACTTCCAGACTCCACGGATAAATTAGCCAGATCGTCCAAACCGCTCGGATCTGGCCAAACCCAGCCGGGCTTGCCTCAAAGGGCCCAGTCTTTGAGGCCATCCATCAGTGGTCTCAAACGGTGGATGAGCTTCTTGAGGACGTGGTGATGGATGTCGTGGAGACATGTGCCATTTGTCAGGAGGACCTTGGTACTTCAGTGCCTTTGACGAATGTCGTAGAGGATGCCAGGTACTCGTAATGATGGTGAAAAGACAGAGGATGGGATGCCGGCAAAAGGTTTCTTAGTAGTTGGTAGTTGATCATGGGTGAGCTGGGTACTGGTGCCACTTAGCTTTCATATTCGGAGATCACTTCACAACCTCAAGAAGTTTTCTCGTGACACATGCACTCTCTCTTTCTCTGATCCTTCTCTTTCTCATTCTCCTTCTCTTCTCTTGCTGTCTCTCTCTCTCTCTCTCTCTCTCTCGCTCTCGCTCTCTCTCTCTCGCTCGTTCTCCTCCCCGCATCCGAAGTGTGTTGTCCTTTTTTGTTTAGTTTATGGTGCTGGGAATTGTTTTCCGATGTCATCTTCGGACTGCTCAGGAAGTCAAAGTTCCCTGCGGCCATCACTTCCATCGGACTTGCATAAAGGAATGGTTTGTTTCACAAAGCAAGGCTCGCTGCCCCTTGTGCAACCAGGTCTTCAGAGTGTCATAGCTCAAGAGGATCAGCAGGGATCAGCCAATGCACTTGGCGTAAATGTCATTCGAGATGTATATTGCGGCGTGCAGCTGCAGCAGCTGCAAAGCGGCTGTGAATACTTTAAGGCACAGAGAATCATTTGTGCGTGGGGGTTTATTTCCTCTTTTGGAGTGTTTAGAGTTGTGCAGGTGCAGCAGTTGTCAATCAACAGAAATCTGCAACTAATCTGGCAACATCTGTTTGACTCATTGACGGTCTCTGGGTCCACTTGAAAACAGTCCTTTTCTGCTTTGGGGCGCGAGAAGCGGTCAGTCACATGAGGCAAGGCAAACCCGAGTGAGCCAAGGTTGTTGAGGTTCAACCTTCCAACACGAATGGCTCCTGATTTTATTTTGTCAAGCTGGCGCGGTGGACGCACAAGGTGTTTGGCTCCGAGCCATAGCTTCAATGGCGTTCAATGGGTATCAGCCCCAAAGATGTTTCTCATGTGGCTCTAGGTAAAAATCTATGGGTAGAAATACATTGCATTCCATTCCAAGCAACAGATATTGTCTATAGTCTATATTATATATAAACAGAGACAATAAGTTCTATAGCCACAGATTTTAGCATGTTTTTCACCTTCATACTGGCCTTTGCTGTCGACCTATTCTGGGCTGTTCTGTCGAACTGACAAATTTCCTCAAGCAGATCTCAGGAGCGCAGATCAATCTGCCATTCCGTAACGGTAGGCCGGTCTATCTGCAACATTTGGAACCAGAAGAGCTACAAACAAAGCTCTGTAGGGTACCAGTCCAGATCTGGATTTAGTATGATTAATATGTGCAAACAAAATGAACCCTTGGCTTAACCATGAGCGTGTCTTAATTACTGTACCCCATTCATTTTATGCCCTTGAGCATGTTGCCAATCCTAATACTCCACATCACACAACTTTCTACTTATACTTGATCGCAGTGCTCTAGGTAGTACTCATTTCGTCACCTTTCATAATTTTTTGCTTTCTGTCATGTCTCTAGTCTTCGGGTCGCTGTTGGTTCTTGCTCATTGTGCTCCGGTGTATTGACCTTGACACTTGGTCACATACGAGACCTGTACCGGTACACCATGTTCAAATATTTTCAACATGTGATCCCATCCAAATCCCAACTCTTTGAACATCGCTAGTAGGTTGGAGGCCATCGCTTCCAGCTGGACGCCTCGACGCCCGAGGCTGCCCCGGAACACCAGCGCCTCGCAGCGGAAGCTCTACCGACGCTCTGAGATTGAGCCGGCGCCCGCGCGGAGCCCAGTCGGTGGCTGAACGGACACGAAGTCACGAGTGGACAGAGGGTGGCGGTCATAATGCGGTTGGGTGAGGAGCAAGTTTCAGGAAAAGGTCAGAATGTGTTCATTTACTGTATGTTCAATTCAATTGTCAATTGTCAATAGGAGATGCATATTATATCATGCATATTCATGTATATTACATCATAATAGATAATAGATAATAGATTGTACAAAAACAACCGGCCATATGATAGTGACAATAAATGATATACAACAAGATATAACAATCGTAAAGTTACAATATATTATATATATATGGCATAATGTGTTACACATATTTACGGAAACGGACGGATGAGCAGCAAGCAAGTTCCTGGTCAGAGGTTTCCTGTTTGAATGACAAAGCTGTGAATCATTTTGCTGGATTTTGCTGGTATGTTTCCTAGACCTGTTGATTGTGCAAAAAAGGGGCTCTACGGATCCAGAGGAATTGCAGCATGCTCCCGCATGTAATATGGCATAATATGGCCCTATATGGCATACAGCGATACGGTGCGGTCCCAACTCTCGACCACTCGAACTGACCAAGCCGACCAAGCCACGCACGCGCTCCGTACACGGATCGAGCCATGGCGCGGGTGTGGAGATGAAAGCAGATGAACTGAACCACTGAACTGTCCAACCATGTTCAGGTAAGTCAGGTGAACCTAATAGCCATGGCCTCCAAGCTAAGAGCGGCATCCGATGATCGGGCAAGTCACCCAGGTGAATCTGATCGGTTTGGAACCTTTACGCCCGTGAGGTCAGTCAGGTCGGTCGGTTCGTGTTTGATGTTTGCCCTCCGACCTTTTTGACCCCCGAACACATCAGCATGGATCCTCATATATGATGATGCAGGTGGGTTTACAACGATGCAAACGTGTCCTCCAGAAAGCTCAGTGGAACTGCCTCCCTTGCAAACAACGGAGTGGGGTTGAAAACACCTCCCAAACACACCGAATTCTGCGCCCAGAAAGACCTCGGAACTGGATCAGCTGAGGTCATGAATGTTCCAATGTCCATTGAGGTGAAGGCGGGATGTCCACAGGGCCGATCCTGACAGCTCCGTGCCCTTAAACCCGGTCCCACCGACAGCTCCTTTGGAAGCAGCGTGAACGCATGGAAGCGCTGGAGCCGGAGCCGGATTTCACGCTGTACGACTGTTCTGGGAGTATAGAGGGAACAACAAACTCAGTCACCAGGATTTCATATATCACCACGCGCACCGGACTTCATGAGTGAAACGTGACTGGTGTTGTACCAGGGACACAGGCCTAAGTACAGTGAGTTTGTTCCTAATGCAAAGAAAGGAGAGCGACACTATAAATAAAGATCAATGTATATATAGAGGGAGATATATGTTGTATACATTTCTTTGCCGGAAGTTGAAGTTGAGAGTTTACATTTTACATTTTTATTGGGTGGAAATTGAGATCCTTTCTTTAGATAGGGACAAGACACGACAGATTATGTTTTTACTATAAGAGCTCCAACATTCAGTCTGCTTGTGTAGCCAGGCAGGGGCCGGGATGAAGTAAAGGCATGTGTGTAGCTGCTTGTAACTGCTACTGTATGTGAACCACAATGCATCCAAGCTTAGAGCAGTTTGTAAGTGGTACTCCTCCAACAAGCAGTACTGCCCACAATCCCTAGCTCCAAGTACTTGGGCCCTCCCAACCCCAAAGGCGCAGAGCCAGTCACAGACCTTTGGCTTGAACTCCCCCAGGCGTGTGCCGCGCGTGGTGTCACCATGCCAGCACCAATCACGGGCGGCCCAAGTGGCGCACAAAGCGTGCAGCTTCCACGCCAGCAGCTCAGGGACGGTGTTCGAAGTGTTCGTTCGTTGGAGAAGAACTTAGTAGCGTCCTCTTGTTCCTAGTAGTAAGAATGCTCCTAGTAGCGATGCCAGGAGCCCCTAGTAGTGTCCTTGCTCCTAGTAGTGAGGCCAGGAGCCCCTAGTAGCTTCTTGCTAGTTTGTCTCATGTTAGCGTTTGCCGGGAAAATTGATCATCCGCAATGTTCCCATGCTGTCAAAGCTTTGCCTGTCCGAGTTGATTGCATACGCTCTTGGGTGCGAGCGCAATTGGGAATTTTGTGATATCCTGTTTGTTAGGTCGTCCCCCCCGTCAACTCGCATGGTCCCCTAAACCCATTTGTAATGGAACACTTCGTCCAAACAATGACAGCAGTGTCGGCTCGAGCCGCCATTTTCTTGCATCCGGTTCAGGAAGGAGGCATGGCTGGGCGGGTGCTGTCTTGGATTTTTTTAAATAGGACCATGAGTTCACACAGCGTGGATGTAAATGAGCGCCCCTTGGTAGAGGGAGATCATGTTGTCAGCAGTCTATTCCAGTCCATTTGCCCCTTCCAGCGGTTTCCCAGGACTTGTTCGTTTTGGATCCCGTGCTTGACCGGACACACGTCGTGACACGGAGTGGACGAGGCCCATGCGGAGGCGAACGAGGGGAACGAACAGCGGACCAGTGGACTTCCGCCGCTGGGGAGTGCACTGTTGGGCGGAGGTTCCTTCTTTGTGGAGCCAAGTCCAAGAGGCTGATTTGAGTGTTGATATCTTTTTTTCCGGGGGGTAGGCCGTAGAGGTAGTAGCTAGGTAGCTAGAAGAAGAGGTACTTGTAGCTAGTAACTAGTAGCTTAAGTAGCTACTACTTAGATTGCAGGATAGCTCATGCTTCTTCAAGGCGGGGAAGCTTCCTTGAAGAAGCGCTCGCACTAATGATTTGGTTCCTAGATTTTTAGGGAAACTTAAGCCATGAGTTGATATGGGTTGTTGTTCACACCAAAAAGGATAAGAAGGGCTTAGTAGAAAGGTTCAGCCATGGCGCCATACTCGTCATGTGTTAGCTCTTAGAGTTCACCTGTTTCCCGAGGTAAGTCGGAGAGTCCTCTTCCTTTCAGGGCCATACATCCAGATTCCATGTCTCAGATATTTTTGGTTAAAGACCTTTCTCTTCTATACTACTAGTAACAAGAAGCTACTAGGAACAAGTGCATCGCTTCTAGTAACAAGTGCCTTACTAGTAGTAGCACCTTTCTCTTCTATGTTCTTTCGTTTTTTTTCTTCGTTCGGCCGCTTCTCCACCTCCACATGCGGATGGGCCCGCCTGAGGCAGCGTGGCACCCGTGCCGTCGAAGGTGCGCCACTGGTGGGTCGCTCCGTTCTTCTGTGTCAACCTACCTTTTTCTTCTGGGTCAAAAAATGTGAAAACCTTCCTCACAAAGAACAAGGTAGGTTGACACCATTTGACACCCCTTTTTGGAGGAATCTGTTCATTTTCAGAGCCACCAGGGTGCCCCCTCATTTCAGCGGCCTTGAAAGAGTTTTGGTTCTTCGGCCCGTTTGCATGGTTATATTTGCATGGCATGAAATATACGAGAAAACAAACAGAACGATACACGTCCCACAGCTAGGCCATCATAATTACCCCTTCCATCCCCTTCCAAGTTATCACCTGATCAGGTACCAGCTGGTAAGGGTGGTCCTCAGAAGAAAGTCTAGGGCGTGGCATGCTTGTGGATCATGTGTTTCGATCTCTTTGAGGATGATGTGGTCAAAACATGTTGACAAACATCTTTTTCACATCCACTTGCTCGACCTCCCACCTGCAAGGCTGTGCCATATGGCTCCAGCTGCTTGGTATTTCTTAGTCAGCCCTTTCTTGTCATTTTTTCCTGTGGAGCCAGCCGGGACACTGGCTTAAACCCGCTGGAAAGGCAGGTTTATGTCAAACACATCAGCCAAGCAGCGACCAGGTCCATGTCAAGAAGATCTGGGAGAGAATCTGGGCTGCGCCTCAATTACCCTTTACCCTCCTTCCAACAAACATGCAAGCTGACCAGAACCCCCTTATATAGAGGAAAATTGTCTTCCACAACCCTCGTTCCACTTCTATGATTGTTTAAGGGAGTGTACTTAATCTTATTGTGTTTGACTGTCCCTGATGAGGACACCTCATTTTATGATCAAGGAAGACACTCCTCCTTTCTGTTGTGTTTTTGTTCCTTGTTCCCAGAGTCCCCGCTGGTGAGGATCCTTTTGGTGATTCATCCATCGCAATTCCCTCTTTCATCCAGCTTAGACTGCTTAGCTCAGCTAGTCAGTGGCTTCCAAGAGAACTTGACATCAGGCCTAAAAGAATCTAAGACAGCATTCGCCGTCACATGACGTAGGTGTGTACTTCATGACTTTCGATTGGGCATCCGGGGGAACTTCGGATGCCAAAGTGACCACCGAACGCCTCAGGCCCTTTCATAGCTTGCCATTTCTGGAAGTGCACCGGCGAAGTGCCAAATGGGCAGCACATCTGAAGGCGGGAGTTTCACCTGAAGGCAGACATCCCGCCTTTGAGGCTCAATTGACTTCTTTCCGAGGTAGAGCAAGAGTCTGGCAACCAAGCCAATATGAGAATGATATTGATTATATACCAGCAATGAAGACGGCTTTCCGAAGGTCTCTTCAAGTGGGCATTTGGGTATATCCAATGTATATATATATATATCCATTGTACATTTTTAAGGCCATGCTCAGCCATGCGGCCTATAGGACGGGGCACTTTTGATGCATCTCCAGGCCTTCCTGCGCGGATACGAGAAACCTTCGCTGGCCAGACAAGCAGCTAAAAAGAGCTGCCCCGGCGGTACTCAGACTCTGGGCCGAGCGAGAATAGGTGTGCAACGTTGGGTGTTTCTCAAGACAAGTAGAAATAAGGGAACCCGGGTTGTCTACATTCTTCTCGAAACAGGGGTATGGCGGCTCAAGGGACACATTGACCTGCCTTTTCTGGGAAGAAACGGCAAGGATTCTTTCGTAATGATCTCTTGGTCGGAAGTTATAGGATCTGCCACCAACAACAGTTTTTAGGTTGTTGAAACCAACCTAGACATGGCTAACAGCGCATTTGGAAAGTTGGAGCACGTGTCGCTTGGTGCGATACCTTGTTCCCACGACTGGTGACGTCGCCGAAATCGGCGTGTGTTTCCCACCCCGATCGAAAGCGGAGAGAGCTGGAGTTGGAGCGGCCGGATCCTGCGTTGTGGACCGCCCTGTTCCCAAAACCGATGCGCACGTCATCGGGGGACGTGCCTTTGGAGCGTCACATCGACGCCTGTAAGGACCCGAAGCGTGGCTTTTCAATCCAATGACGAGTTGGAGCAACTGCTGAAGGCTGCGCCTTGGCGAAAGGTATCCAAAGGTCAGATCGATCCATGACCCACCATTTACGGGTACTGGAATATACTCAAATATTGTATAATATTGTATACTCAACGTAGGGTGTAGCCCATCACCGGTACCGCAAAAGTAAAACAATTATCACCATTTTTGAGAAAGGCCTTTACTAACCATCATCCACTGTTACTGGGATAAGCTGTACCCAAACGCACGAAACAATCAAATAAAATTGACATATATATATATATCATATATATATATATATCATATATATATATATCAATAAAGACGTGGAATCAGAGAGCGAATGCAGAAGCAAACACAAGCCTTAAGGAAGTGCGAGATATGTTTTCAACTTCGTCTTCCAGTGACCCTGCTATACTTACTTTCATTCATGTCATCACTCGCCTTTTTGCTTGGCAACATGACCAGCGGTTCGAGCCAGCATCCCCGTATCCACCATCCTCGTGGATCCACACGAGTGATGTCAGCGAGTCACACGGTCACACCCAACTCTCGGTGAAGACCGCGAGTTCGGCGACCCCGACGAGTCTCGGTTTCGCCCGCCCGGGAGGTCGGGGTCGCCGACCAGTGTCTTCCTTTTTTTTGCAGCACAGGGTGTGGTTTGCTGTCGGACAGCAGAGACGAAAAACATCCATGACGGAAAAGAATCGGAGAACAGCTGATGCCTGGCACGGTCTTGGCAGTTTGAGCCACGATTGACAAGGCAAGTGAACAGTGGGAGACAGCCATGCAGTCCTCCCTCACCTGAGAGAGTAGAAACCCCCACCCAAGAATGTTTGTATCGCATGTCCGTTTTGCCGGAAGGATGTCCCATCTAGCGAAAAACCAACAACAAGGCAACATGTGGTGTATTCTGGGAAAGGTAGAGGTTTTTGTAGACCACGTCGCCTGATGTCCTCAGGACTTTGGTTGCGTATGCATTTTTTCCCGTGTTCCATCCATCCCATCGTGAGGAACAAGCTCGCCAGCAGCAACGAAGCTGGACACCTGGCCTTGCAGGTAAGGGAGCACGGCCATTTTGGGTATTTGCAAGCCACACGAGGGGCAGTGGCGCCATGAGTTTACAGGATGCTTTAGGTTCTGTTTGGTATCATCGCTTTAGGTTCTGTTTGGTATCATCGAGAGATAACTTGTTTTGAGTTAACACCCATCACAATCTTGTTGCTGCGTGTATCTGTGATGCTCAAACTTGAAGCTTCCACCAAAAGGGAAGGTAGAAACCCTGATATATCATGATATATCCAGAATCTGACCTGGAAGTCCACCATGTAGGGCATCAGATTCTTACAAGGTCACCTCAGAAACAGGGCAATGTATAATTGATTACTGTTTCAGCTGTGTAGCCTAGGTGGTTCTGAGCATCGGTAGCATGTCAGCATGTCATAGTATGTGTATATTAACAAGTGGCAAGTAAAGGGAGTAACAAGTGCCTTACTAGTAGTAACAAAAAGCTATTAGTAACAGGTGCATCGCTACTAGGAACAAGTGCCTTACTAGTAGTAACAATATATATATATATACACACACACACACACTTATCTCGTTTTTTCAAACCTTGGACTGGAGAGCATGCCCGAAAAGAAGGGCCTTTCGAGAGCATTCCTTTGATGGTTCAACATGATGGTTCTTAGTCGAGAGGGGAATCGGGAAAGAGTGAGTATTTTTTAGTTTGGACAATATGAGCAGAGTTTTTTCTTGGATCACTTGAGCCACTGTGTGGTGTAGCCTTCCGTGAGTCCCTCGCTCTGGTAGTTGGACAGCAGTCAGCTCCTTCGTTTGGCAGAGAACTTAAACTCCGGTTTTGGCGTTGCCTTTCTTGTAGACTTCGATCGCGGTGCTTGCATGACAAGCAAGAGCATCGAGGATTGAGCTGGAGACCTTCTGACAAGAGATGTTGCCCCTGCAAACATTGGCACACAGACAAGCATTTTCTTCAACATCTAGCATAGATTCCTGAGCTAATTACCTGGCAGCCATTGGGTTCAGTTCTCCTTTTCATTTTCATGAGGACATTAGAAGGCAGATGCTTACATATGCTCACCAAAATAGACCGATTACGAAGCCGATGCCCAGAGGCCCAGATTATCAACTGATTGGTTATTTTCATCAGGCCTTACAAACAAATGAAATGAACTGATGATCTCAGCTTCACCGATTTCTTGTGAACATGTTCGGCCAAGGATCCCAGATCTACGGCGAGCTGCCACTATCGATGAAGCTGGGAACTGGGAACGTCATGTTTTTCTTTTTGTTTCTTTATAGTTTTTGAGGGTGTGTATTGAGATCGGACACCTCACACAAAGACTGAAAGCAATTAATATGTAAAGAATGGACATAATATAGAGGGAATCGGCGTAGATGTGCATTCCATCGTTTAGTACATCCCTTTGCTTGCAACATGGATTGCCTGAACTTGGCTAGAAATATCTGCATAGTTGTTCTCAGATCTACAAGTTTGGTGCCCCCTCCGCAAAACAAAGTTTGGACCTGACACCTGGATCGAAGTCTTTCGAAACGAACATCGCTCCACCTGGTCTCTCCCAAGTGGCTTCACTACTACAGCCATCTACCTACTGCCCTGATATGAAAACTACAAGACTGCCTTAAAGGGTGACTGTGAAGGACAAAAAAGCAGTCAGATGGTCAAGCCCTCCGACCTGAGCTTCAATGCTTTAGACTCAGAGGGACAGGTCCAGGTTGTCCGTGAGGTCTTGGCAAGAGATCCGTGCAAGTGGGCTGAGTGGAAGAATTTGTTTGGTTGAACTGGGGGGATTAGGGTTTAGTTTGGGCAGTGGGGCTTTCTTTTTTTTCGATCTCTTCCCTAAACAGAACGAGAGACAACACTCCAAGTCATGGAAATTCTAGGTGTCACAAGAGGTTCCAAGTTGGGTGTTGGGTTCATCCTGTTTCACAACAGTCGGTAATGCTTTGTCACTACGTACCAGTACTGATTACTGGGACAGGCCGTTACCGTACAATCATCATCATCATCATCATCATCATCATCATCATCATCATCATTCATTAATGCTGTTGCTGCAATCTGACAATCCCCAACCAAACCCATGCTTGGTATTTTTGTGCCATGAGTTGCATCTCATGAAAGGCAGGTGAGTACTCCACGACAGTGTTTGAAACATTCGAGGAGGCTTGCACTCGACGCATAAGGTCATCCAACAGATAGTGTGGATGAAGATGAACTTTGTTTATGTGTGATTTTCCCAGGTGTAAAGCTATTAAGATGCAAGCTAGTGGTTTAAAAACATCTAGATATGATATATATATATATACACAATCATACACATATGATTACTGTATAGTCATATATGTATAGGCATATACAGTACATTTCAGTGGTCAGGTCAAGACACTAGTCCAACTCGCCCGGCGCTCTGCGTCCTGATCCAAGGACCTGGCGGCCAATGAGCCCCTTGGAGAAACTTTAAAAGCCATGAGCTTTCTTTGTATTCAGACATTGGACCCCAATAGGCTTCTCGATCACCATGAATCGACCATGAACGTCTAGTACTTTGAAACGCTGCCTGCCGCAGGACGCATTAGTCAAACGAGAGCGCAAAAACCGCGTCCGCTCGGAGCGCTCCTCGCCGAGCTCCTCGAGCGCCGCGGTGAGGATCAACCGAGATCGCTGCGGGGAGGAGGCCATCACCTTGACCAGCGATCTGAACCCTTTGACACGTGGCAGACGGGGGGCGTGGAAGACAGGGTGCGTGAACGTGGAAGACAGGGCAGAATGGAAGAGGTCCACTGATTGCATATATATATATATATCATTATATAGATATGGGAGGTAAATACTACGTATTGCTAAAATTTGTTAAAGTGATTTCTATGTTGTTCGCATTAAAGTCTGAAAGCCCCATATCTTGGAGCGGGACAAAGACATGCGAAATCAATTCACAGTCCACAGCTTCATGTTCCTGCTGGTTTGGATAAACATCAATCAACCCCAAGGTTGGCCATGATTGGTTACTTTCAAGTTTCTCAAGTGTTTGTGTTTTCGCCCCGTCTGGGGCCGAAAACTTGAAACTACGTATATTCAACTCCAATCATGGGTGGGGTTGGTGGGATGCAGACTTAAAGTCGATCAATCGAAACACACAGCGGTGTGTGTATAGCCTTACAGTCCAGATGTTCTCCCCACAGTGCGCCGCGCCAGTCAGGGGTGATCATGTGTGGTGAGTTCCAACAACTGGATGAATTAACAAACGGCAGTTGAAGCCTTGGAATGGCATTGATTTATGTGACGCACATGCTTCTTTTGGCAGTTTTTGCACACTTAAGACGTCTTAAGACTGGGTTGCTCTTGCTGGAGGTGAATCGTTTCGTGATTTGTGCGTGCAAGTCTCCCGCAAGAACAGACGGTTATTGACACTTTCTGGGGATCCACCATCCAGCAGCATCCGAAGCTTCATATTTGGAGGTTTGTCAGACTCGGCAGCAAGAGCTACCTACCTAGTCATCGAATGATTTACTGTATCTCAAGCGACTTTGACCACCGAAGGACAGAATAGACTACGTACTACAAGTAGGGCCACTAGGGAGATCAACTTATGGTTTAGGTCTCCAGATTTGGACTCCACAGCCGAACCTCTGCACCCACTGGTCTGGCACTCCGCTTTCTGCTGACCCTCTGCGAGGTTCGCTGACGCCTTGGTGCGCTTCGGCGCCCTCCGAAACGAGGTCATGGACCGGGCCCAGGCCTGTGCCTGGCAGAGTGCCGCGGGTGTAGAAGTCCCTCACTTGCTGTCACTGGTCGTCACAAAGACCCAAGAAACAGCATGAAACAGCTAAATGAAAAGGGAACCTCAAGTATCACTTTGCGGATGGAACAGTGTGTTGAGATCAAACCGCCGGGTGACATAGGCAGGCGCCAGTTATGAGCCAGAGACACACTCAGATTCTCCTGATTTCAAATTATATATATAGATGTCTTTACAGCCCAACCACTTGAGGCTTTCAGACATGGAGCTGCTGAACTCAAAACCAGGATACCTTTTAGCTTGGCGGGACTGGACTTGGCTTCTCTCAGGATCGCCGAGAGAAAGCGGATCGCCTTCTCTCGCACATGACCAACCAGGTTCGGCGGCTCACCTGAATTTGTGCAGCTGCGACAAAGACCATTGATGGAAGCCGGCCAATAGTGAAAAGCTTTCTCGAGACAAGATGAGTCATCATTCTCCACATTGTTTGGAGCAGACAGGATGCTTGCTGAACATGTGCCTAATCCGTCCACCTATTAAAACACCCGCCCCCCGCCCCCCCCTAATAAGGAAACCTCGGTCGCATTTTTTTAAATAGGGGGTCCCTGAAATCAGGGTGGTCCAAAATAGGGTCAGTGGAAGGATCCTTGAATGGACCTTGAAGTGCAGATTTCGTGGCAGGCTGGAAGTGCGGATTTCGTGGCAGGTGCATGACTTTGGGGAACCTAATAAGAAAACTCCTCCAAAATCGGCCTTGTTGGTAGTTTAGTAGCGGCTTGAAAGGGCGGTAATTTGAAAACGAATATAAACCACATTTAGGGGTTTCCGGCATGACTTTTTTCATCCTGCTGCTGTGAGACAACCAGTCCAATGGCCTGCTCCTTGGCAGTGGCTGGAATTGTAATCCCCTCGATGTTTTCCCTTCCGTGTCCAAAACGGTATATTCGTACAAGTGCTGTGTCATCAAACCGGAAATTGCTTTGAATGCTGGTAAAGCATGTTCGAGAGCGCGGTGGGTGCCAAATAGCACCAAGCTGGCCAAGAGTTCGCCAACTGTCAAGCATGCCTTGGGGGAGCTTTGACTAGAGGTTGTTGCGGTAAAACATGTGCAGGGACATTACCGAGTGGGCTGATTGTGCTCAGAGATATCCATGAGGGGCCCACACAATGTTGGACAAAATGAGCTTGTCAGAGTAACTGGAGGAAGGAGAAGTGGAGGAAGGGAACTGTGGGAAGGGAACTGTGGGAAGGGAACTGGACGAAGGGGATTGGATGAAGGGAACTGGGGGAAGGGGACTGTGGGAAGGGAACTGGGGGAAGGAGAACTGGAGGAAAGGAACTGGGGGAAGGGAATTGGAGGAAGGGAA